GCAACTGAATATCATATTTTCTAGCATTGCAGCTAAGCCTATACAACCATGATAAAGCATCTATGAGCTTAAGGATTTGTTGCGTGCACTTCAATTAAAACCTACCATAAATTCCGCTGTGCAGATTGAATTATGGAAGTCAATGCGTGCCACATATTCTACATGTAATCTCCTTAGGAGCTGCGTGCTGAACATAATTTATCTGCATATTGTGTGCATGAGAAACAGACAATAGTCTCAGTTCGTGCTATCAAAATTGGCATAGAGGTGTGCATTTCATACTTCCTTTCAGCTAGCATTTCCTTTATATTTGTGGGCCATATAATCAGCTACCGCCAACTGCACAAATGGCTGCAAGCTGGATGCCAGCCGTGCACGGGTTGCTCATGTGCACTACGTGGCTGCTTTTTTTTTGTTCCACTTAATAGCAGTAAGTATGAGCCACCCCATAAGTATTAAGGGGTCTTCGAGTGAGTAGATATTCGGAATGGCCAGGATGAGTATCCTGGGAGTTATTCGGATGTCAAACAGGGTCCATCCCCATTTTCTCTGGAGGAACGGAGTTGACTTGTTCCTGGGAACTGCTAAGTGCTTCATGCATACCACATGTGTAGTGTGTATAAATATTGCGTAGAAATATCTAGCTCTGGTAATTTTTATCAAAATGATGCAAAATCTACGCATTTTTCATGGGTATGAAAGGACGTTAGCACTTATGCCTTGATATGGGAGGCTTGAATTTTATGTATAACGAACCGCATATATTTCTTGGATTGTATGCCATTGCGTTCTTGTGTGCTATATCAGGTGCTTGGCGGTTTGCAGCCGATAACAATTGTTGTTTCCTATGCATATGAATGCGCATTACGATATTTTCGCTGCTGCCTGCTATATATTGGTGATTGATCATATTCGCCCCATAGTTGCAAGATGAAAATTTTTTTAAAAAAAGAAGAAAAAACATGCTAGATAGATCATCTAGAGGATTTCTATGCTGTGCAGTAGACCCTGCCCTGCAATACAAATCGCACTTACCAAGTAAAGCCTCTGGCTATGTAATGCTGGTCGACTTGATCATCTTAGTGATTGCATTTCCAAATGATTCATATTGAGCCATACCTGTTGTGGTGGGTTTAATCGTCGTTGCTCTGAGTTACAAATAGCTTTTCAAAGTAGGTCTTCAAAGGCTTCATGCAGGCATCCTGACTGCCACAGCTTTTCTTCCATATTGGTTTGGATGTGAGCATATGAATTGTCCCAAAACTTCCTATTAGACTGGGCATCTCATTGTTCACCATCCATCCAGTTTTAGTGTACAACAATCTCCCTTATCCATTTTTGGATCGCAGGTATTTTGCCCAATTGTGATGGTTTACATAAAAGAACTATGTGCATATACATATATATATATATCTATGGTCTGCGCTGATGCCATATAAGTTACTACGTGTCACATTAGATCGGCAAATGCAAAAAATGCTTGGCCACTTTATATCTACACACTGGAAGCAGGCAACCTCACCCCATGTTGTTTAAATGCGGCGTGTCATCGCCGTATGCAAAAAGTATAAACGATCCATTAAATGCCAGAGAAGCCAAAGCAGCTTGCTATTGTAGAAGCCACAATTAACATATCATGACACATGACTCCCCATGGTCTAAGGAGTTTCATATTCATATGAATTTAGCTACGCATGGGAAAATAAATTTGATTACATAGTAGACACAGTATGCTCCAATCATTTTTCAGTAAATAAAAATTACGATCTGCCAAATATGCTGCATACGGCGCAATGTGCCAAGTCGGAACATAAGGCTACATCTTTTGCATAGCTGACTACCCATGCTTCATCCATGGATGATTGAGAACACAGAATGAGTAACGCATATTCCGTAACTTGCATACGAACATGGCAACATGCCAGGCATGGTTACCGTTCAAGTATATGGGTGTTGATGTAGGACCACCCATAGAGCATATATTTGTCACTATCACTAAACAGCATCAGAGCATGATCTTGCATGGCTATACCATGCATACCTTAGTGTGTTTGTATGATGGATGATAATCGTTCCTTTCGTGCTGTTTACCCTATAAAATCACTTGAAAATGCCCTTTTGACCGTAAACTATTGGGCCCATAATGCGTTACACTCTCTATTTAAAACATATTGAAACTAAGTAGCGAATTCGATGTGTTTTGCTCAAATGAATTAGTCAACTCGAATTAGTTTTAATAGATTACTTCATGCGAATTGATTTAATGAATTAGGCATCTCAATTCACGACAGACGGCTTTTCTTGAGGGTTCTTAAAGGGCCCATATCTAATTCTTTTAATTTAATCGCTAATTCGAGACTGTCTTGGTTGAGGCAGGAGAGCAAAACACAGCCCCGACCGACCCCTACCCCCGTGCCAGCCCTCCCCCAAGACCCCCCCCTCCTGCCCATTTCGAACCTACCCTGCCTGTGCGCAACCCAGTCAACCAGTTGAACCCGCTGCCCCCGCGAGCCAAGTCCACACGGAGGGGGTAGGAGTAACTTACTCTCCTAGTCTTCCTTGGATCTAGACGTCCCAGGCCTCCGGCCTCGGCGGATGAATAATATCCTCCCTTGTTTAAGAGTTCAGGCCGCGAGATGTTTAACAGAACGTTTGATATTCCGGGGCACGGATTGACACCTACTTTTTCCACAACAACTAAGGGTGGAGGGACTACCTTCTTCATCCTGATGCGTCTTCCCTGGAGATGCCTTGAGCATCTTCCGTTCCCCTCGTAACTGAATCATCTCTCACACCCGAATGCGAGAGATGCAAACCGACAGGAGTCTAGTCTGTTCATCAGCTCAACAGGACAAGGAGGAAGAGGAAGAAAGCGTGGCCAGTGAGGCTGAGGAAGCTGAAGGCACACTGTAAAAATTGAAGCTCCCATCCAATCGGTCTCATAATTCCTTAGGGTGCAATGCAAGGTATGGAAGATCGACAAGTCCTGGATGAAGTTCCACAGGCCCGTGGGGTCTTCAGCAATGTAAACTTGATCGCCAGCCAGTAGCATTACATAAAGGGCTGAACAGATGAGAGTCGCGGGAGCAGCGTGCAAGCAGCGCACCAGAGTCTAGACCTGTTGCCTGCTGGAGGAAAGGTCAAGATTAGCAAAGGCTCGTGTGAAGAAGAGGCTGGTTGACCTAGCTCGAAACAGGAGAGGCGTTGAGAGCTGGAACCATGGAATTGCTTTAGTAGCATGTTGACCAGTATGCAGCCAGTCTCCGCAACTCGTTTTGTGACTTGGTAAGATGACCAAAGACTACAGAAGGCTGGACGGATTCCTTTTCTCCCGATGGCCTGATGGCAAGGTGCCAAAGGACCTGTGCTTGCACCAGATTTTTTTGATTGCTTTGTATGTTGCTTGCAGACCCCGGACAATCTGCTTTTTTCTGGTTTGGAGAACTATCAACTGCAATCCGAATATGATCGTTCAATCATCGCCATCAGCAAGTGCTGCTGACATCATGTCTAGCCACAAGCTGCTGCCACAAACTCTGCAAGGCACTAGTGTCAGCAGCTCAGACCACCAATTTGAACAAAGCCTGGCAAAGGGATTCATCTCTCGATTGCTTGCAGCTCTTCATGTATTCTCGGTTTTCTTGGTTGTCCAGTGGGCATTGTCTTCGTCCGTGTGAAGCAATCATGTGTCTTGCCATATTTGCCATGCTGCGACCAAGAAGCATGCGGATCTAGAAGTCGGCAGACTGAGAATTTGCAGATTTATCATCAAATCGCCATGTTTTGGCGTTTCGCCGGAACGTATCCTGATCTGGCAAAGACTTGAGAGATGGGGAAACTGGCGTTTGGACGACGTAAATCATTGCCCTGAGAACTGGTCATTTACGCGAGCGAATTCAGTGCCGCATGCCGCTGAACGTTCCTGAGCGCGCCCTGCCGCCATTGCATCCATCCTTGCAGCCGGGCTGGTGCTGGTAATGGTGCTAGGGCTGCTGCTGCCTGCTACTGTTAAAGTGGTGGCAATGCTGCTGCGTGGAGGCTTCTAACACCACTCGAAGACAAAGCAGGCACCAGCCTCGCATTTAGTGCAGCCGGAGCCGCGGGGTTCAAGTGAAGGAAAACAGGAGACCAGCAGCTACTGAACCACTATGACCACATTGAGATGAGGATTACATAATCTCTGGTGTTGCGTTTGATAATGGTTGTTGTCTGCCAGGGGACCTCAGGCTCTGAGCAGTGACAGCCACTGCTATTGCTTTGCCTTTGATCTACCATCATGCATCAAAAACAGTATGATGCTTGGTCGCGACCACGCTGGGTTGGTGGAATGATCACGAACGTCGTAAGACGTCATTTGTTGAAGTACCCCAGTGCTAGTAGCCAAAGCTGAGCTTTTTTTCCATGAGGGTTCACTTTTCATGTGGTATCTCATGGTATCACGCAGGGAAGTCAACAAACTCTTGTGCAGAACTTTCTTTGTCGACGCTTGAGGAAGCATCTGCTGCACATGCGGCTTCTCAGACATTCGAAGGCAGTTTTGCATTCCCTCTGTTTCCGCTTTGCCAGCATGCTTGGCCGGTGCTTGCGAGGCCGCGATGATTCTCTTCAGCTGCAGGCGGAAGACATCCTGCAGGCAAGCCTTCTTCACTGGCTTGACATCTGCGCACACCATTCTCTGCAGGAAGGATGGGATATTGACGAGATGGCTGATATCATGAAAGCAATGCGGATACATGGACAAGAGGCATTCCCCAATTTTGGAAGACTCTCATGGCAAGTGAAGCAAGCTTATCAGGTGTGGCTGGATTGCTTGCTAGTGGCTTTGGAGGAGGAGGCCTGCGCTGAATGAAAGACACAATCCTGCAGCAGACCATTGTCGGGACATGTCGAGATCCTGAGCAGGGCTCCTATGCACTTCTATCCTTGGGCCGGTCTGTGAAAAAGCTTGAGTCTGTCTCTGGCAGAGCATGCCAGCTTTCGCAGCGTCTCACGCGTCTGCACGCCTGGTAACGCCGTTTCTGCTTTGAGCCTACGAGTAACACATCAACGGTTGTGCAGACCTGTGCAATAAAGATCGAGAGACAGACAAGAGAGCAAGAGAAGTGTAGAACAACTACAACTATGTTTCTGATAGTGGAGAGGGTTGCCTCGGCAGCACCAATGAAGAGGAGACGGAGCAGCACCGGAAAGTGAAGTGCTCCATTCCATACCCCATTCCAGCGCCCCTCATGCAGACCATTCCTTCCATACCGTGACCAGATTGTCGTAAAGACTCCATTCCGTACCCGTCCCAGACCAGGATCACGCTATCTGAGAGCTCCACGTTCCAGAGGGTCCGGATCAAAATTGATGATGCGGGTCCCAAAGCATCCTCCTGTCTTCAGTATGCACTCGAGATTATGCAAGATTGCAGAGCGTCCATGCCTGGGTGTAGAGCGGGAGAACAGTATAGGATGGGTTAGGACAACCAGACCTTCAGTGAATTGACGATAGATTATAACCAGGACCACAAGCCCTAGCCCGCCTGAGCTGCAGGTGCTGGAGGAGTCTCCCATCGTAGAGGTGCTTCGAACGAATGACCTGCAGGAATTGAATGGCCGCACGTGCCACAGCTGGATACAGCTTGTTTTGCACACGCTAGGACGTGTCCAAAGACAAGCTGAAGGGCACTCATCCCAGAGTTTCTGATGGCGCAGAGTGTGTGTGTGTGTGTGCGCGTGGGGGGGGGGGGAGAAGATTCCATCAAAGATTACAGAGACCGTTCGCAGAGGCCCAGCAAAGGAGAGGTTGCTGAAGTTTTACCGTCGCTTGGATCAGGCACTTGCATCTACTCGGTGGCTTGAATCCACGCACACAAATCGCCTTCATGTCCTTTACACAAGCTGTTGCCTGATTAGTTTGTTTGACTCGTTGGTACGCTGGCTGCCTGTGAAGGTGTTGAAAATACTGGAGAACAAGTCCTATCGAAAGTACTACCAAAATCTATTGCCCAGCGCTCAATACAAGCTGTTCGATGGCCAGCTGGCACTGTATGACTGCATGAGCTTCAGCTGAGGGCGGAGAGTCAACAGCGACAGCAGCTCTTTCAACAACAGAACGAGGCCGCTTCTTCGAGCTCCTGAGCTGACTCTCCGCCAACCGAGCTTGCAGAAATTTACCAACAGGTGCTGCACGACTACGTATGTCGAGCTCTAAGAAATTCAAAGGTTTTTGTTCACGATGTCCCCATTCCAGAACTTCTAACCCTGAGCTGCAGGTGAGTTGGAAAAAGAGTTTGCAGACATCAGCGACGCGATCTACAACTACCGCTCCAAAAAGGACCGCCTGTGATGTCTGCCCTTGAACATGCTCGTTTTGGCAAGAAGAGAGAGTGAGCTACAGCCAGGAGTTGATGCTCACAAAGCTTGCTGGCTTGCTCGACAGGGGAGAGTGCGCCGTGTTGTCAGCGCTCTGGTTCTCTGGCAGCCTCAAGCAGCCGCGGCAAATCTTGGCAAAAAGTGGCAGGTACTCACATCTCGGACCGACCAGAGGAAGAGGGCCAACCAAACGATAGCCACGCGGTAAGAGAGTTTTCAGGGCAGTACGGCAAGCGAATACAAGCCCTAAGTCGCCTCTACCCAATCCCGAAACATTTCTAAGCTTAGGCTTAGTTCATTGTGTTTTGGCTTCAGGGGGGCTCATGCACAAGGCTTTGGGCACTGCATTGGCGCCTTTGCTGCTGCTCGCAGATCTTGTTGGTCCTTCTTGTTTCCTTCCCAGCTTAGGACATCGTTGCAGGCTCCACCAGCTGATTGTCAGGTTTATGTTTCACACCATTTGATAATGCTGCCGTGCGCGCAAATCCGCCGCAAGCCCGCAACCACAAAGTGGTTGGTCACAGCGCAATGTAAGCAAGTTCGCCAGATCATTCTCATGAGTTTGAATCTGATCGGTTTGCCATTCTGTGCCATCATGATTGTTTGCTCTCCAGACTGCCTGGAGTTCGGAAGAATGTCTCTGGCGGCCGCGCTTGAACGTAATCCCAGCATCAGCGCAACAAGACGCATGATGGCATAGGCATAGGTAGATCGACCTCCCAGAGTCTGGATCACGCAGTAAAGCCAGAACTTTTCTAGACATGTGTTGGTTACTTGCCTCTGGGGCTGTACAGAACCAGCGGCAACACCCATGCATATGGAATCACAAATGTGCGTGGGCCGCATCAGGATCATCCAAGTGAACATTTTTCTCTGGAAATGGCTGGTTGTGATGAGTTTGACACGCCACAGCCATTTGGCCCAGCATGTCAACGCAACATACCCACACAGCACGCCCAAGACCCTTAAAAAACCTTGATCCTGCCGGCCATGGCCTTGCATGCTGGAGGTCTGTATGGGCTCCTCAAGGTGAGGTGCTAAAGTCATGGGCAGTCTGTTGGCTGTGAGAAAACACACTGGAGCTGCTCAGAAGATTTCACTCAAACCGTCCAGCAGCACTCCTCCAGACTCTTTTTGGTAGGTGCCCGAACTCAGATGCGAGATTCGTCGAAGAGGTCTTGATCCAGTCGGTGCCCCGACATGCTCAACAAATATATTTGTTGCTTGCTGCGAATTTTCTAGATGCCTGTCGTGAAAAGGTACTCGAAAAGAGCTGACCGAACGTTTGATCGCCCATGATTGGCAGAACAATAACTCCCCTGGCCAAAGACAGGCCTCAGTTGTCAGTTGAGCTCCCTCCATTAATGTAATATGGATTTCCCGTTGCTACATGTTGCTCCGCAAGTCAGGACATTGCTTCTTGCCCTATTCCTGCTGCAAGCTGCTTGCGGAAGCAAAACTGCTCGCAGCAGGAAGAGGCTCAGGGAAGAGAAGGACAGAATTTGAGATGCTGTCTTTGATTCCCTCTTGGCATCTCTTGGGAAAGCAACGAAGAGTTCCTGCCTCATCCCATAGTAAAATGGCCATGCAGTATGCTCCTCACGGTATTTGTGCTGCAGGAGTTGAGGCCTCTGACCAGCCATCTCCAATGACGGCCACCGTGGCAGTATGCAGGCCTGGGAATATTCTAGCCTCATTGGCAAGCTACGCAACTACACGCAACTTCTGTTGTAGCTCACGCCGACAGGAGCCAAAGAGCCGGGGAAGCACCCCGTTGCCCTGCAAATGTCGCGAGCGGGCCCGTCAAAAGGCAAGAGCCTTAGGACAATAGTGCGACTTGGGTGTTTCCTTGTCATCTGCACTCTGAAGGCGCAGGAAGCAAACTAAGCAAACCAACAATGCTGCGGAGTGCCGGTCTTAGCCTGGAAGCGCTGCCACGCCACAGATCAAGCAGGAGCTAGAATCAACAAGCGGCAGCTCTGAGGTTTTTGAGTTGTGCCGACTTGACCTGTTGAAGAAACATCAGGAATCATACCCTTCACTCCTGCCTGGCGTACCTGCTGCAGAACAAGGCCAGGCGACGGTCTGCATCTGTGGCCAGATTGGCCAGTTTTCTCACGCTTTCCAGCGCCTTCATGACAAGGTTAGTGCTGCAGCGGGGCTGCGCTATCAGGACATGGTGTACAGGTACTTGGGTCGACATTTTTCCAGGAAGCCTCCGCGAAGAAGTTAGCAAAGACTTGGACCCTGCTAGGCTGCACAGCAAAATTCCACCTGAAAAAGATGCGGAACAGACTGGTCCCTTGTTCACTACGAGGCGGTGGGTGCGGGGGGGGAGGGGGGTTGCCTGAATGTTTTTGGCACCAAACGGTGTATGCGCAAGAGAGAGGCACTTCTGATAAGTTTCTGTTGCAAGGTCAGATTGCAAGGAGACCGGTCGCCATTTGGATGTCAGTCCGGAAGAAGCCTTGGAAGCTGCTTGGAGAGCCGGCGAGGTTCAGACCATGCAGGCGGAAACGGAGTCTGTGGAGCCCCAGCCTGACAACATGTCAGACCTGGACGAGACGGAGCTTGCAGAATCCTTGCAGATGCTGGGGAGAAATGGTGCTCCTGATATAGTGCAGGGGCAGGACCAGCCAAGCTTTCTGCATCCCGTAGGAGGTGCTGCTTTACTTGCGTCATTTGCATGCCGCTGATCTCCTTGGGCACCTTGTCTCAGCAGGAAGTGGCATCCCCATCATCAGTCAAAAGAAAGCAAGACAGCGACGAGAACGGCCAGGAATCTGGAAGTGACCTTGCTGAGGAGGACCTGCGCAAGGCGAGGCAAGTTCCATTTCTTCAGCTAAGCTTGGTGATCGTGTCTAGAAGGTAAGCAGGAGCCCTGGTGCACGAATTGTGTAAGGCTATGACGAGGCTCTTACCAAGCAAAGCACAGCAGGAGGAGAGAAGCTGTGGCATGCTTTCAAGCTGTGAAGGCTATACTTGGACTTGCCCCAACAGCTGTATGTATTGCCTTTTTCAGAACTTCTACGACTAGCTTGCCGTAGGCTGCTTTGCAGGAGACTGACGCTCAGCGAGAGCCTGCGGTGGCGGAGCCTCCGCCTGCTGCATCAGCTGCACGAGATTTGTCGGATGCTGAAGCCCTCAAGGCAATCAGTGTTGTGTTGCCTCAAAGGTTGGGACAGGCCTGTATTGTTGAGGAAGTTGGCATGCTCATGAAAGGTTGCCAGGTGCTGGTCTCCAACATAAAAATCTGGAAGCAAAGTGGCAGGCACAGAGCACCGTGCTTGACCCTGAGATCGAAATCCTCAAGATAAAGGCTGGCAAGATGTCTGCCGTGAATGCCAAGACAGATGCCAGATGGTTCAAGCTGCAGGTGCAAGAGGCCATGAAGAAAACTGCGCAAGCTCAGGCACGACACTTTTCAAGTTTGCGCTCATCAGTTTGCAATCTTCAGCGTGCGGTTCTTGATCCCTGGCGACACGAGCAAGTTGCTGTCTGAATGAAAGAGGACGTGAATTTAACCAACGGTTCAAATTACACCAAAAACATTTGAAAAGCACAACTAGGCCTTCACGAGAATGTGCGTCGTGAGTCAAACCAGGCTAGGATTTCAGTCAGGAGGGATATGGCAAAACTTGCGTGTAGCCCGGATTCTGGATTGAGGCAGGTTCCGACGTCTGCAAAGTAGCCCAAAATACGAAGACATGAGGGCGCCAAGAGATCTCTCCCTCCCTGCATCTCGCTGTTACGTTTTGTCCATGAAGAGTCAAGCAGACAAAATGCGGGTGGATTCCGGATTCCGGCGGATTCCGGATGAATTCCCCCTGCCGAAGACGGTCAGCTACGATGTCAAGCCCAGAGGTGGGGCAAACCCGGGTCAGACTGCCAATGGTAGCCAGACCCTGCGAACTACAATGAAAGATAATGAAAGCAAAGATGTAATATCGTTTCCAGATGTTGACATCACGCATGAAAGTCAGGCCGGTGACCCCATTCCCGAAATGTGTCCGTACTTACTTGAACCTTGACCCTTGAGCAGATGCGTTTGCGTCGAAAGAAAGCAGAAGAGATGCTGATTGGTGCGCCATTGCCCCAGTGGGACATGAGCCTTCATGTCGTCATGCAATAAGTGGTGAGGTTGGTGAAGCACTGCGAAGCCGCCTGTCGAGTGTACAGCCAGGCACTTGACAGGTTCGGACCTCTTTTCTCCTTGGTCAAAGTATGTCAAGGTTGGGCAGTGAACTACAAGATGCTGAGCTCAGCACCTTGCAGGTCCACCGCATCGTGAGCTGAACCGAAAACTGAGAAGCTAGAGCTGCGGGTTCTTTGTGTTTTTTTGAGCATCCTTTGCTGAGAGATTTCTGCAGCAGTTGCATCAGCAGATATCTTTGGCTTTGTGATTGCAGCTTAAGTTTGGGCTCCAGCTACACCTAACAGGCTGGCAAGCCAACGTCCCAGAGCAGGGGCCGAAGGCACGCTGCCTCGCATTGGATCTGGCCGGTAAGGCAACTGAGCAAGGGAAGCTGGAGGAGCTCATAGGAGCGCCGCCGAGCACCTGTGTTTAGTTGGTGACGCGCGCTCACATCGCCCGGCGATTTCGGCACGTTTTATTGTTTTTCATGGTTTGCCGCCTTCTCCGTTGAGCAGGGAGAAGCTTCCGATAACCAGCGCATCCATGCCCAAACTATGATAATGTTCGTGTTCCGAGAGCATACGGTCACCAGGGCAACCATGCCCAAACCATAATAACGCTCGTGTTCTCAGAGCATGCGGTCACCAGTGCATCCATGCCCAAATTATGATAATGTTCGTCTCAGATTATGCATAGATTCAGATCTTGGCAAATCCTCAAGTCTCTTGTGCCCAAGAACTTAGCACGCCGGGCAGACCATAGTGTCAACCCAAAGCTTGTGCAAGCCACATACATGTGGTCCTGGGGCAAGAATCTAAGAAGAATCTAGGCGAGATCAGCAAGCCATACTTCCTGCCTGCCTTGGCACAGCTATGCCGCAAGGGAACCTGATTTGAAGTATACCCTAAGCGAAATGATCTAGCTGTGCGTTTGCGATGTCCTGGCGCAGCAGTGCCTTGTAGCAGGCCAAGTTTTTAGTACCTTTCGTTCCACAGAGGCAGATGATCCTGAGAAAGCGACTTGGTTTTCAGGGTTTCGCACAACCCCGTTTTACGGCTGAAATCACGCAAAAGACCTCAGTTTCGTGCACTTTTCAGCCCTCTGCAACATGCAGACGCTCCTCCATGCGCGCCTGACCCAGTTTGCACGAGCTGCAGGGCAGAGGCCGGCCTCGCAATGGCGCAGGTCGATCCAGCACCCTCGCCTGCCTTCCCACAGCTACAGGTACGGTAGCACCCACGACAGGCCAGATAACTGGAAAAGTTCTCCTCGACACCAGTACTGGCTTTTTTTTTCTGTGGGGTTGTGGGGAATTCAGGTTTTCTCTGCGAGCGAGCACATCTTGGGATAGAGGGTTAGAATGGGACCGCTCCCAGAGAAGCATTCTAGGGGCCTCCCCGGAACCTACAGCGTCCTCAGGCCTCTCCGTGGCAAGTGAGCCCCGAAACCCAAACATGTTCTTCCAGCTCGCAAGAGGTTGGGCATGCCTTGGGGCAGCAAGTCGGCGACTTGGTGCAGCAAAACCACGAGACCCTCTGACCCCGAGCAAAGAATGCAGCGGGGTCAAGGCTGCACGCCTGGAATAACACACCCGAGCCAATTTCGGAGCCTGCCTCCTGAAAGCCAGGAAGGGGCGCCGCTTTAGCAGTTGCAATAGCTATCGAGAGAAATCTGAAACTTCAGTATAGAGCAAATCCTGGTCGAGGGCTTGAGCAAGGCAGGGCAAAGGACAAAAAACAACTTGCGAGCACCAGCGCCAGCACGAGGAAGCAGCAGGACAGGCCCGAGCTGCCTCCCAACAGAAGCCCGATTAAGAGACCGTCAGCTGTGCAGCGATGTCGTTGGCTTGCTCTGGCTCTACATGCACTTTCACATCGGGCGGCGCAGGCGTGCGCCGTGGCAGTTGCTTATGTTTTTGCTGGTGCCAAGCCACGTATGCTTCAACCTCATTTCATACGTTTGCCATCTTCATGTCCAGATCCCATACAGGTCGTGTGCATGCGCCCTCAGTGCAGGCTGAATGACTCTGAATGCGAGGAGAGAGGTCACCAAAACTGCTGCAGCCGTAGGAGCAGTGCAAGCGCCAGGTGCGCTTCAGGTCTCCACGGGGTTATCAGAAAAATCGCCCAACTGTTGCCTGGCTCTTGTCTAGTTGTACTTGAGCATGTTTGGACACGAAATTGTTTCTTTTTTTTCCGGGCGCATGAGGATTATGCAGGAACTCGTTGAGTATCTTGGACCTGAGTACTGCTCAGTGTCTCATCCAACCCTAGCCACCATCTTGTAAGTAATTACTAGCCTATGCAACCTGTCGTGCTGACCGGATGTTCATGGAGCACGCGCCGGCCGTGTCCTCAATGGGCCCACCGTCAGCTAAGTGCACTGTGCGCATCTATACATATCATTCACCTGCCATTCCAGCATGAGATGAAGAGCAAGTGGAACTGGTTCAGTTCCACCAAAGGTACGATGCAGCCAGAGAACAGCAAGCATGCCAAGGTCTTAGCACCTGACTGCGCGCCTCTGGAAATCTGCTAAGTGGGCACAGCCTAAGCTGGCCATCCCTGCTCTCTCTTTCTCTCTCCTTCATCTTTCTCTAACTTTGTTGTAACTTAGACTTCATTAAGTCACTCTAGATCAACGCGATTCTCCGCAACTTTTCTGTAGTCCAGCATGCTGTTTGCATGTGTCTGATTTGCGCGGCCTGACTTGCAAGTCCGGTCTTCGAAGAAATGGGTGATGCACCTTGCGGTTGCCTAGGCAAGCAGCGGAAGAGAGATCATCCACATCCAGGTTCCAGCACAGCGTCAAAAACTCTTTTCAGTAACAGATGACGATAGCATTAACATGCTTGCATATTTCACAGTCAGGCAGACCGAGCATCAAGTGCCGACAGAAGCCTGTTCGTAATGTTCCGAAAACTGGCTTTGACCAACTTTTGCCAATCTGAACCTCGCAATCCTTTCAGATGTTGCTAAAGCAGCCCAACAAGCAGGTTGGCAAAGCTGGCAACGCAATTGGGAACCAGTTCTGGAAGGCTCTTTGCGAGGACAACTCTTTCTGAATCCGCGTTGAAATTTTGGTGCCATGTGCCAAAGTCCCATGCGGGAAGGAACATGGTCTCAACACACAGAAGGATGACAACATGAAGGGCTGCTTGATGGATGATGGCTCCTGGGCATTGCAACCTGAAAGATTTTGAACAGCGCAAACTCGCCAGCCTTGCAAGCCGTACCTTTGAAATGCTGAGGCGAGGGTCAGGCTGGAATCACGACAGTAGCAGTTCCGTTCTCTGCATGGCTGCGAGACTTGCCTTGCCTGGTCAGGGTCCAAAAGGTTACATCGACGTGTTCTTCAATGAGGGCAGGTCAATGGAGGGCAAGACCAGATACGTTCCAGTCTCAGACATTGGCCAAAGGGAGCTGTGCTGTGCAGAAACTGGGTGTTGCATGGGCGAATTTAGTGGGGTTGACCTCGTGGCTTTATACCCCATCAAGCCTGAAAGGGAAATGTCTCACGGGAGGCCTGGAGCCTTGGAAAGGGCAAAGGGAGATGTTGAGTACGAGTAGGAAGTCATACGGATGAGTATGCGTGAAAGAGTATCAGGTGGCACTGCTCCTCAAGGTCGTCTGCTCCGCGTGTTTCTGTAACAGATGTCCATGTGCATAAGAACATGTGGCACGATGATTAGGAACGCAGTACATGTAAATTTTGACTTAAGAATGATTGGCCAGAGTACGTAATTGTTTTGCATGCATGCATGAAGCTCCCCAGATGTGGACAAACTTGTCACGAACTAAGTCAGCATTGGCAACAATGTTTTTTTTTCTTGGTCAGGGCGCGCTTTCTCCGCGTACGCGGGGTGTGAGACGCCGCAAAGGAAGCTGACCAAGACAATGATTTTGGAATATGCGTTATTTTCAATTTCTAAGTACCATACAGGAACTTCAAATAAGGTGCATGTTACTGGTAGTTCATTGATTGCCACAAGACCATTGTGTGCACAGGAAGTGCCCCTGACATGTGCATCGGAGCGATTTGCGCCAGCATTCTCTGAAGCTTGCAGCCTTACCTGGCGATGGTTTTCGAATGATTTACATCGGGATTGGTTTAATTTCAAGCGGATGAAAAAAAGCTCGAGTATTGTCAAAACCGGCGTTCAGCGGGGAGAACCCATGCTCGACTGACGGTGATGGCATTGACCTGGCGCCATGTGCGTTCGAGTACAGCTGACTTATGCGAGCATGGTTGACTGGAGGCAGATGCCACATGCTCGACGTCTTATCATTCGTTAGCAAATCGAGAGCTTGAGTTCATGATGGGTTTAAGTGCTTTATAGGGACCAGTGCATGGACCCCCGCCCCTCCCAGACGTTTGCGGGTTACCAGACCTTATCTTTAAACCCTCGGTTCTGCCCCATTTCCATCTGCCATCCACACATGCCGCTCGAAGATCTGAAGAGATTTATCGGCGTCGAGGCCCTACACCGTCGTAATCTTGTGGGAGCATTGGAGCATTGAGACGACAAATTCTATCGAATCTTGGAAACTGTGCTGGGTTCTCCATTTTCGGTCTGTTCAGCATGCACTGGATCTCGGTGATCGGGGAACTCAGTGACTAGGCGAACCCATACAGCCTTGCATGTCTTCGAATTCCGGCGAGGGTATAAAGATGACCCACTGATTAGTACGCACAGGATGTTTTCTTTGAGTACAGGACACTGCTGAAACAAATGCTGGTGGTTTTGCTTAACATCACCGCATCTGCAACTGCCATTGCGACTACTGCTGCCTTCAACCATGGGCCTGGGTAAAGTGACACTAGCTCAGCGAACTGTCACACAGAAATCTTGTCAAACGCGTGCCAATGTCTGGAATGGAGCCGTCGACGTAGCAATCTTGGGTTCGGGCTTCATGTCTCGGCCAGTATCTTCAAACAGCATTGTCCGGGAATTTTGATCGCTGCCCTCATCTATGCGCAGCTCGTAGCTAGAGTAGGATTGCTTGCTGAACATCTCTGGATCAGCAATGCTACCCCCCAACTCCTGAGAAGGAAATGAAAGAGTTGTGCAACTCCATTGTTGGAATGTTTGTCACTGCTGGTGGTTATCAGTACCCTTGCTCTCTTAAGGACACTGACAGCAACCATGGGTGCGGATTCACTATCGTCCGCAAGAGTTCGGCAAATGATTTTGTCTCATAAAGACGCATTTCGGGACGAGGTAATTTAGAAAAACACCCTGATGGAGCTGTGCATAAATAAAGTTCGCGGCGATTCAAGACAGTTTGGGCAGCTGGCAGCTGCCTCAGCCTTGGGTCTCAATTTTTAGTGTCCGGGCTTCAACCTACAGAGCATGATGCGCATCTCCTTTGTCTGTGCCCGGCCCGAAGCCAGAAGGCACGGGACATGCGCCACAAATTGTAGCCTCAGTTCGGTAGCGGACTCCAGCATACGTGTGCATGAGCATGATGTCATACGGCTGGGCAAGTGGCAAGTGCCAACCAGTCGATGCAGTTTGCAAAGTCTTTCTTGTTTGTCCCAGCTGTCGTTCATCGGTTTTTGTCGAGGTTCCCAGAGCCATATTGCTGGACACCAACATGGGCGACCTGGCGACCATCGCAGAGGCAGGCTGCGCCAGTCGCCAGTATCTTTGTCATGTCCATTCATCAGCGCAACCAGCCTCTGGCAGGATAGTGCCGTTGGTGACCTCTACAGGAGGGAGTGCATTCAACTTCTTGTCCATTTGCCCTCACTCATGAAGATCCCTGTGAATTTGCTGCGTGCCAAGAGCCTTCTTGACTTCTACTGCCATGTGAAAAGCTTACGTGCAGCATGCCAGCCGTTCACTAGTCCTGTAGAATTTCAGAAGCTTGACAAACAGCCGCGAACTGCAGATGTATCTTCCAGAATTTTTCTGCATGCTTGCAGACCGGAAGACATCATTGGCAATGACGAATCTTCGGGGAATTGCTACGCCAAGGCAGGAGGAACCTCAGACACCCACCCACACACACAGAGACACTTATCCGCGCAATGAGCTTCTTTCCAGTGACCAGTGGCGACCAGCTGCCTCAAGTTACGGCATCCCAGTGTCGAGCGAATTCCGCCGTATACAAAAGGAGGGTTGTCGGGACAGTTTTTAGGCTAGCTTCATGCACCTTGCAGCGTCCCTCTCAATTGTGAGCCTAAACACTTTCCCATTAATTTCGAGGAGTTGTCGCGAGTGTTTAGAAGCGCGGGCTATTCCAGGCACAAACTTTAGCAGCTGTGTGGGCAAAGCACTGCGGCAGTGTGTAGACATCCCAGCTGCACCCCAACATGCGGGGATGATTCTGCCAGATCATGCGGGGCACCACATAGATTTGCTTTGGGGAGATGCTCCTCTGGCGCGTGTGCTTTTCAGCGCGGGCACCGTTGGCGGTTGCATTTTGCTTGGCTTGCCAAGCAGATTGCGGCTTCAGCTTTGATCAGTGATGAGCTCGAGGTTGAATGTAACAGCCATTGATGGCACTGCTTGGCGGCATACGTTCGAATCAGTATGTGCGCCTATCAACCGGTCCCGAGTGTAGAATTGCTCTGTGAGGATTTTATTGTTGCGAGCTTTGCCCCTGGCATGCCTTTTGTCAGATCGCAGGTTGCACTAGTCATGTCTGAGTCAGAAAGCGTCACAAAAATCTTTTTCACCTGGTGTTGCAGTCATGCACAAATGAAGGGCGCATGGACAGCCGGAGCACGGCTTGGCGGTTGACTGATCACGCAGGCATTTCACACGGAGGGCCCAGACCTTGCAGATCGATGCCTGGAGATGGTCCGCAAGGAGGCAGGTGGCAGACGGCCAGTTTTGGGAGCAAACTTTTTCTGTGAATGACGCAGGTAGAGAAGTGCAACTGCCTGCAAGGGGCACGGGTCTCAGTTTGACCGATGAAGTGGGTTGCAATAAGTCTACAGCATCCCAGCAAAAACGCGTTGCCTTCCGGTTGTACGTAGTTTCATAAGTAGAAGAAGACTTTCATGGCTCATCCAGCAAAATTCTTTGCCCGAGTCGCACTCATGCTGTTTCTTCATCTTCGTCGTCATCCTCGGCTCCATCCTCGTCCTCGTCTTTCTCGTCCGCATCGTCGTAGTAGCAGGCTCACTTCGGAAAAGTGATGCCAAGGTGTTCCGCATGTCAGGGCCTTTCAATGCCATCTGGTGCAGTGCTTCTAGATGATGGTGTTGCCGCTGGGGAAGCGGCGAACAACATTTATGGCATTTTGGACCGATGGGACAAGCACTGGAGTAATGGGAAAATTAAGTTGAAGGTGTTTGCATTTTGCAGTGGAGTTGCCTAATTTACAAGATAATTTGCGATACGCAAGCTGGGATGTGAGAGTGTGTTCTTGTTCTCAATTCAGATGTTTTCACCCCACCCCACCCGGTAGTCCAAGGGTTTGAGGAGTTCTGATTCGAATTTTGAGTCGCCCCGTCAGGAGTCTGACACCTCCACATGAGCGACGGGCTAAATTTCCGTCTCTTGACACATGTCTAACGTCGGTCAGAATTCCCGAAATCATGCGTTTAACCTGTAAAACCAGATGGTCCCCCCCAAATAACCAGATCAGCTTTTTTGTGTTTGAATACAAATTTGTTGGAAACGAGATTCAAGGCCCGACTCAAGTGCTGTAAAAAGAGATAGTAGTAGATTTGGTCAGATGGTCTCAAGCCTAGTCTGAAAGAGATGGTCCCCCCCAACATGCTCCGGAGCGTGCAAAACGAGATGGAACGAGATTGCAACACGAGCATGGGAATTTTGACCATAGGCCAGACAAGAAATTTTGCCCGCTGCTCACATGTGTCTAAGCAGCAATGTTTTAAAAAACGACTGCCCCCCAAAACATGTCGTTAACTCAACCAAAACGCGTGTGAGGTGAAAAAACATGGCATCACTAGTGGTCCTAGTCGTCGCCGTTGTCGCGATGTCGACGTCAGCGTCGTGGTCGTGGTCATTGGGGTCGCGGTCGTTGGGGTCGTGGTGGTCGCCGCCACCACCGCCGGCGCCGGAGGCGTAGTACTAGTAGTAGTAGTAGTAGTAGTAGTCGTTATTAGATGTAGTTAGGAGGTAGTAGGCAGCAGGTAGTAGGTAGTAGGTGGTAATAGTGGTAGTATTAATTGTATTATTATTATTATGATTATTATTATGATGATTATTATTATTATTA